GACCGCTGAGGTTGGTGTAGGTCCCGGCAGGGCATGGTGTGGGTATGGCACTCCCCACTGGGCAGTAGTGGGCCACAGGACAGAGCCCCGCCTCTTCTGCGGATCCCACCCTCAGCAAAAGTCCCAGCTGAGTTCCATGCTCTGCCCCCACCTCAGGTCCTACGATGGAGGAGAAGAGGCAGATCAGTTGACGCGCTGCGTACACACGTTCCCATCCTGGCTGGCTCACATTTCCACCAAACCTCTTTAAGAGTCGAGAGGCCCAGAAAACAAGTCCTGTGTCAGCTAACACTTCAGGACAGCGGATTACTCTGTTCTGCTCCTGAATTAGTAATGTCCAAGGAAAGTGTCCTGTTTGTCAAAGCCAGCATTACCGGTGGGTAAGGAGTCCCTCCCTGGACAGTAGAATCCCTCCCTGCAGAGTCCAGTCGGCCTGACCAGGCCCACAGATCCGCAGAACCACCCCGGAGGACAGGGCCGACACCCAGACAGCTCGGTCACGTGGACACTGCTCAGGGGGGACAGGGAAGCAGTGCTTCATGGGTGTCTGTCTTCATTGTTGGTCGTTGCATCATTTACCACCTAATGTAGATCTTAATTATGAGACGGATTATGGTACCTGTCTGAAAAGTGCCCCAGTGGGCAGGGCACCGGCAGGCTGGTGCCAGCGGGACAGTAATGTCCCCGAGGACAGGCCCCCCCCACACCGGTACTGATGTTCCCATCCGGGTTCCGGAAGTTTATCCCTGAAACAGAGAGCGGGGAGCAGAGGGAGGGCAGGTCAGACACAGAGACGCCAGACCACGTGACGCGGCAGGCGAGGCGAGGCGGGGCGGAGGAGCGGTTTGCACCTGCTAGGCAGAAGTATCCGGCTTGGCAGGGACCCGTGGGTTCCGCCTGCCCCCAGTCCTCACAGAACATCCCTTTGACAGGAGGGCAGGGTGTCAGAAATGAGCTTGCGGGACCCCCTAGGATCCTCATCAGTGTAACGGCACAGTGAATGCTACTGAGCACTGGCTAGGGAGACCACAGCACACCACACAGAAACATGTTATCACTGGTTAAATATTCAGGGGGTACTTTCAGAAACCAGCTCCTTCACACAATTTGGAGAAAGTGTTTAGATGGAATTCAGCTTCTCTGAATGCTGTTAATGTCAGTTCTGTGCTGTCGAATCGACCAGTCGTTCACTTTGTGTTTTTAGAGAGAGATGATAAGAGGCCCTGCTGTCCATCCACCTGGGTATCATGTTGGTTGACCACAAATTATTGTTACACATCGTTTTAAGCTGATCGGCAGGAAGTGCAAAGGCAGCAGCAGAGGGCCATGGAGACTAGGGGTCAGCTGACCCGTGGTGGCCGTCAGGACAGGAGCTCAGTGAAACGCCACCGCAAACAGGAAGTTGGCACCGCCATGCCAGCATTCTCACCGGCTGGGCACAGCCGGCACTGCTCCAGCTGACTCGCCCCTGGCACAGGGTTGTAGGTGCCGGGCGGGCAGGGCAAGACATCTTCTTCCCTGCTGCCCCCCAGGCAGTAGTGCCCTGCTGGGCACAGTCGCACCTCCACCCCTAGGGGGCAGTATTTCCCCGCAGGACAGTCCAAGCACTCTGCAGCACCTGTACTCACGCGCACATACACACACAAGCACACAGACACATATGAGCCAGGAAACGAAGCGTCCGTGTGTCAGAAAGACGGAGACCACTCCGTTTGCACATGTTCCACGTTTATTGCACCACGTGCTGCGTGTGAGCGTACAGGAGTCACCACAGTTCTGCACAGTATACATATAGCACTAGCATTAGCTTTGGCAGCGAGACGCACATGCCCAACATGCCTGTGGTGTTGGAGTATGTGCCGTCCTGGCAGTTGAGTGGGGAAGTGGAGCCCTGAGGACAGTGATACCCCACTGGACACCTGTTCCCCGTCACACCATCGACTGGCCTGGAGGACTTGGCTCCACCGAAGCAGTAAAACCCTGCAGGAATCGAGTAGTCACTGAGATCCAGTGGGCTGCAGTGGAGCCACAGTACTAGCCATACTTATTCTCCAAAGAGCAAAAATCCAGACCGAGATTTTGTTTCAACCAACCAGTTGAGTTTAAAGAGTCACCATCACAGAGTTCTCAACGGGTTGGTTGAAACAAAACCCCGGTCTGAATTTTTACTTTCTTGACCTGAACTATCCACTGCTGAGTACCAGTATGAACAAACTAGAAATATTTGCAGTACTGGTAACACACAAATGAGAACAATAGCAGTTATAAGTTAACAATAATGCTAAACTCTTAATAATCCAGCATCACTCCAGCGTTCAATACCAGAAGGATAAGTAAGAGAAGGATATACCTGGTGCACACAGACCAGAAGGCTGGATGAGGCCACTCCCATTGCAGAAGAACCCGGCGGGGCAGAGCCAGCAGGACGCAGCGTCCCGTGCCCCTGTGGCACTGCTCCACGTCCCAGGGGTACACGGGTTTTCCCGGGGGTGCCTGGTACCCGACGGGCAATAATAGCCCACAGGGCAAACGTCTCCAGCACTAGAGTTCACCTGGACAGGATGCCACCATCAGTCAGCTAAAGGCAGGGACTGTGGCAGGTCACGTGATGGGTCATGTGACAGGCCACAAGTATGCAACAACGTTCAGTGACCCAGTATGCTAATTCTGTGCCGAAGAACAGTGACAATGAAATGTGCCTGACTTCACCCACACTGTGCAGTTTCTAACAGAAGATCTGGTGAGTTTGCTTGCATTTTACTCTTGCAAGATGAGTGGGTGCAGCACTGAACTGTTTTAAAGGCCCATTTATTTAAAAACAAGGCAAAATGATGTTATACAACCAAGATTTCTGCGGTCTGTGTAATTGTTTTTCACTTTCTTTTTTGTAGCTCTTGCGGAGAGGGGAGGGGTGTTACCGGTGTGGCTGTGCTGGCACCCCCCAGGCAGAAGAAGCCAGGACTGCAGGCACCCTGAGGGGCAAGCAGCCCAGGATTTCGACAGAACATTCCGGCATCACAGGGCCCACAGTGCTGGACGCTTTCGCCACCGGCTTGCCCTAAGTATGTGCCCTTTGTCCCACAGACACAAGAGGGTAGTGGGGTTGTTGGGAGGAGGGGGGGGCATGCTTCATTGTGATTTAAAAGCTTTACAAACATCACATGTACTGAATTCAGTTAGAGGATTAGCGATTAGCTGCTAATGCTTTTATTCAGTGAAGTGCAGCAGACAGCACTCAGCACACACTCTGCCCTGTAAATGGTGTCCAACTGCAATGTTGCTAAGCAACGAGGAAGAGGACTAATCGACGGGTGTGTGTTTGCTTGTTCGCTTACCGGGGGGCAGGGGTGGGGAAGCGTGGACCCAGAGGGACAGAAGTGTCCCGGGGGACAGAGTGGAGGCCGAGCCAGGCCTGTCTGGTTGCAGAGACGTCCTCGCTGGCACTCCAGACAAGAACTCTGGGTGCGGGCCTATAGGATAGAGGGCAACCTGTCAGAATGAGGGCACGCGTGTGTGCGTGTGTGTGTGTGTGTGCGTGTCCAGCACAGCTTACCGGCTGGAAGGACCCAAACGGACAAGGCTCCACCTTCGCTGCCCCAGCCTGTGTGAAGTGTCCCTCCTTCGCCTCATACTGGAGGGGGGACACAGAGCCTCCAGTGCAGTAGTAGCCTGGGGCACACTGGCCAGTGGGGGCGCTGTTGTTGGAGCCAGAGCAATAGAAGCTGGTGGGAAAACAGAAAGCTAGTGTAAACATAACACTCAGAGCTGTAGATGGAGTTCATTGGCTATTATATAAGTCACCTGACCAATAATTGGCCCAATGGCATAAAAGCTGTTATGAAACAGCCAGAGTGATACAGGCACTGTCTGTTCAGCAGTGTGACACAGGCATACCCTGGGGGGCAGTCCCCACACTGCTTGATGCTCCCCAGACCAGTCCTATTACTGAAGGTGCCTGGGGGACAAGGGGACGGCACGGAAGAGCCCACGGGGCAGAAGCTGCCAGGGGGGCATGGGCCTCCTGTGGGCCCCCCCGCTGGGGTCTGTGGAAGGAGGGTGACAGAAATCTCAGCTCGCAGACGCCCTCTCCATACTGTAAATGAATATTTATATGGGCATTTTTAATTATGTACTGCAGTCCAAGAAAACATTACAAACCCATAAAAGAACATTTATTACTATATTGTGAAGTATCCTTCTGATACTGGAGTATCAAAAATACAATATTTACATACTGTTTACTCTTCACTGTTAAGCAATTGTAATTTAATGTAGTAATTTAATGTAGATTGAAATGTAGATTGCAACAGGAACCGTAACATCTTTACTCTATTTGATATTCAGGTCAGAGGAAGAGGTCTTACAGGTGATTGTGCTCTGCCCCTACAGTAGAACCCCTCTTCACAGTCCCCTGAGGGCTCCGACCTGCCCACACCTCTGCAGTACCTGCCACCTCCACAAGGGGTGCACTCAAATGCACTGTGCAAGGCCTGTCTGCTGCCAAAGGTGCCTTCCTCGCAGGGTAGTGGGGAAACGCTGCCCTTCATGCAGAAAAACCCCTGCGAGGTGAGAAATAACCAGTGACATTCAGGTTGAAGGTGTCCCCAGTTATATATTTTGGTAAATGGTACTAAAATTTAACACAGAGGGGATGTTCCTACCTTTGGGCAGACAGTGGGGGTGTGCGTAGCCAGACTGCCACAGAAGTACCCAGATGGGCAGGGCATGCAGACCTCACCAGGGTGTCTCTGAGACTCATTCCTGTAAAAGCCAGCCTGGCAGGGCAAGGAGTGCGGGTTTCCAGTGCCCGCTGGGCAGTAGTACCCGTCCGGACAGCTCCCTGTCTGAAACACAGTGATTACGGGCAAGAGTTGGGTAATTCAGGTCCAGAGAGTAAAAGTCCAGACCGGGATTTTATTTCAACCAACCAGTTGAGTACTCTGAGACTGTGACTCTTTATGCTTAACTGGTTGGTTGAAACAAAATATTGGTCTGGACTTTTTCTCTCTGGACCTGAATTACCCAACTCTGTTACGGACGGACAGATCAGCCGAAACGCCATGATGGCAGGTTATTATACCGTGATATTATCCAGGTCATGTTTAGGGTGGAGGTGACAGGAGAGCTTACTGGCTCCGTGAGGGGGTGACCCAGGGGCTGCAGGGAGAAACAAAAGTGGCCAGCGGGGCAGGTAGTACACTCCTCCAGCTTACGTAGGCCGGCCTGACTGCCATACGTCCCGTTTGGACACGGGATGGGGTTGGGGTCCTGCAGGTGCAATGGGGGAGAACAGAAGCAGAGGAACTCTCTGTGATCTACCACAGTTCTGCCGGAGAAAAGGACTCGACAAGCTCCGTGAACCAAAGGTAGTTTAGATGATGACTAGAGGAGAGAGATCAAGACCGTGGCTATTGGGAAACTCACAACACTGCCCCCAGGGCAGTAGAATCCCTTGGGACAGAGGGTGGAAGAGCGCTGGGGCTCTCGGTCCAGGCCTTGAGAGCAGAGCAGGCCGGCAGGGCAGACCATCTGACTTAGCATGGCCTCCTGACTGGTGGCGTCATTGCTGCAGTAGTGCCCCCTCTGGCAGGGCAGGCACACTGCGGAGCCGTCAGCCTACATCAGCGGATACGCAAAAATCAGTTAAACCAGATTAATTCTTATGATAATCAGGAAAAGCATATAAATCGAACTAAGTATAAAAACCTAATATCTTACACAATCATTAATAGCATAGTGCCTGTACTGGGAGATGCTGTGGGAAAAATGGACTGGCTTCCATGGAAGTGCGGTTTGTTGTTTGCCAGAATAAGACACTGGGGCCCAGTGTGATTATAATTTGGTGGGGTGGGGGGTGGCTTACCGAGTAGCTGCCGGCTCCACAGGGACTGGGACGGATGGTGGAGGCATGGGGGCAAAAGTATCCAGCCGGGCAGACGCTGCAGTCCTCTGCTTGCTGCCCCCCTTTCTCCCTGCGGAAGGTGGTTCTGAATGGAAACATCATCATCATCATCAGCAACATCATCATCAGCGCTGTTATCATCACAATCATCATCAATGCTGTTATCAGATTCATCATCATCATCAGCAACATCATCATCAGCGCTGTTATCATCACAATCATCATCAATGCTGTTATCAGATTCATCATCATCATCAGCAACATCATCATCAGCGCTGTTATCATCACAATCATCATCAATGCTGTTATCAGATTCATCATCATCATCAGCAACAACATCAATAATCCGCCTCACACTCACGGCGGGCAGGGTGCGGGTTTGGAGGACCCCTGAGGGCAGTGCGCCCCCTCTGGGCAGAAGAGACAGTCCTCCCTGGCCACATTTCCCACCCTGGTGCTGTATGTGCCTGCTGGGCAAGGGAACTGGGAACCGTACTGGGTTCCTGCAGGAAATGCACAGAACATTATCATCATCATTGGATAATACTGATGCTCAGTGTTATTGCTGTGGTTTAAATGATCAGGTTTCATCTTATCAATGTGCTCTAGTAATCTATTCCTTTCTTGCTTTAGAAATCATCAGACTGATCTCTTTCAGTGGAGAGTTATGGAATCAGACCGTGGGTCATGTGACCCTAGCGGCTCCAGCTCCGGCTGTCACCTTCGGGGCAGTAGTGCCCAGAGCTGCACCTCCCCGACGGTGCCCCAGCCCCCGACATGCAGTACCATCCGCGGGGGCACAGACCACACTCCGCCTCGGATTCCAGGCCGCTGCGCTGGCTCCAGGTGCCTGCTGGGCATTTGTGCTGGGTGGGGAACATGGTGCCAGGGGGGCAGTAGTGCCCAGCCAGGCAAGGGAGGGCTGGTCTCTGAGCACCACCCGTACCTGGGAAGAAACACACAGATACAGCTGTTATGGCAATGGTATGCTGTTACCTCGTACTGTTACTGTGATGTTATTTTGTATTGTTACTGTGATGTTACTGTGTTATGTCACTGTGATGTTACTGTGTTTTGTCACTGTGATGTTACTGTGTTTTGTCACTGTGATGTTACTGTTTTGTTGCTGCATTGTTACTTTGTATTGTTACTGTGCTTCTACTTTGTGTTGTCACTGTAATGTTACAGTGCTTTGTAACTTTGTTTTGTTACTATGCTTTATTACTGTGCAGTTATTGTGTTTTATTACTGTACTGTTACTCCATTGTTAGCATTCTGTTACTCTGCACTGTTACTATATCACTATGCTGTATTGGCCGTCACTGTGTGGGGTAAAAGGCAGCCCAGGAGAGGCATGACCTCGAGGGCAGGCGTATCGCGACGGGCACGTCTGGCACTGTGAACGGTCCATCAGATCCGTGCGGTCGCTCAGGGTGCCGGGCGGGCAGGCATTGGAAGGGGTGTTCGGCCTCGACGAGCCAGGCGGGCAGGTGAAGCTGGCAATCGAGATCATGGGGAGGCGTGGTAAATAAGGAAGGGGGGAACACTGAGATCAGAACAAATGGCCATGGACTGATGTTGCATTTAAGCAACAAGCAAATTAGATTAGGAGGAAAAATGAACCAAACCTTTGTATAGATTTGTGGGAGAGCTACAAGAGGGTTAAAACTGGATAAATGTACCAAATGTACCCCATAAAATCCTGGCTTGACTTTCACCATTGTTCACCAAGCCTGTAGCTGATTAACGTACCTTAGCAAACCACCTCATACAACACATAATGCATTTTTTAGGTTATAGTGTTAAAGTGAATAAATTCTGACTGAACGCCACACTAATGCTCCCTACGCCAGCATCCCAAAGGGCTGCGACCCCATCTCGGGGATCTCTCACCCCTGCATGCAGTCCACATCCGGCGCCTTGAGTCCCGCCTGTGTGCACGCCTTCCCCGCATAGCATGCCCTGCAGTCTGCAGCCTCGTCCTGCCCCTCCAGGGGGTTGAAGGTGCCAGGGTGGCAGGGCATGGGGTCACTCGTGCCTTCAGGGCAGTAGAAGCCCGGTGGGCATTTCAAGCAGTCCTTCACACCTGGAAGGGAATATGGATTTGGGACTGGCGCTCGAACTCTCCTCAATAACAAATTTATAGCTGCACATTTCAGTGTTAAGTTGTGGTGTGTTCTCTCTATCGCCCCCATGTGGTTAACTGTTACATTGTGTAGTCTTACTTGTGGCCCCCTGGTGTGGAGTAAAGGTGCCCTTGGGACAGATGACTTCCTCCAGGGTCCCAGCTGGGCAAAACCTCCCCTTAGCGCAGGACAGCCCAGGGAACACGGAGCCTGTTGGACAAATAAGATTTGGCCCTTGCTTACACACACATGGGAATCATTGTGAGGTCATTCCTACTGATTCTAATTTTAATCTTGTTAATGATTAATAATCCCATTTCAGCCAAAGATTAAAAAAAAACTGATAACAACAAAAGGTTTAGCAGAAGTGGTCCCAGATACTACAGATGAAAACTAGCCTTTTGGCTAACTCTTGCATTTTTACAGCATTTACCTGTCAAATAAACCAACAAACAAACAAACAATATAAAAGAAGACGGCTGTGAAAATATGAAGGGTCAGTTATTTAAAAGTGATGTTTTATAAAAGTAGGAGGTCTCATTGGGTTTGGATCCCATCCCAGGAAGCACAGGGCAGAGGACAGGGAGACGCCCCAAATGGGATGCCAGTCCAGCACAGGGCAAATCCCACACATATATTATATAATGCTGGAGCAGGCATGCCTCATGTGATGTGGACTGATGGTGGTGCTGTCCCGCTGTCACAGCCCCACCTGCTGGACAGAAGCGCCCCTCCGCACATCGCCTACAGGCCGCCTTGCTGGTCTGGCCCAGCTGTGTGCCAGCTGTCCCGGCCGGGCAGGGCGTCCCGTGAGGTGTGGCCGTGCCCTCCTCGCAGTAGTACCCCTGCGGGCACATGAACTGTGACCCAGGTCTCTTTGGAGTTCCCTCCAGACAGAAAAACCCTGTTCAGACAAAAGCCCAGGTCAGCTGAACCAATCACGTGGCACCAGGTGCCGCTTGTGGCAGGTCGGTTATCCTGTGGCCAGTCACGTCGCTCATGAGGGGAGTACCTGCAGGACATGGCATGCAGTCGCTCTCTCTCTGAAGGCCATCCTTTGGTCCATAGGTCCCCACTGGACACTGGATCGCAACACCATCTTGGCAGTAGTGGCCTGCAAAGACAGGAACCTTAACAGACAGGAAGTAGGAAGCAAGAAGCCTACAAGACAAGATGTAGACAACAGGAACCTTAAAAGACAGGAAGTAGGAAGCAAGAAGCCTACAAGACAGGATGTAGACAACAGGAACCTTAACAGACAGGAAGTAGGAAGCAAGAAGCCTACAAGACAGGATGTAGACAACAGGAACCTTAACAGACAGGAAGTAGGAAGCAAGAAGCCTACAAGACAGGATGTAGAGTCTTGTAGAGTCTTGTAGACAACAGGAACCTTAAAAGACAGGAAATTGATAGCCAACAGACTACAAAAAAAGGAAGTAGACAGCAGGAAAACTAAAGGACAGGAAGCAGACATCAGGCGGCAAATGAGACAGGTGACACCTAGTGGTGTTACAAAGACGTGCAGTGGAGGTGCTGTTCCTACCAGAAGAACAGAGGAGGCAGGTGCTGTCTCCATCCCCACCCCTGTAAGTCCCTGGAGGACAGATGGCCAGTGCCCATGACCTTTGGAATAGCTGTCCTGAGGTTTTGCTCCAAGGGATCAGCCCACAGCGGGATGTCCTGTTGCAGTTAAGGCACTGTCTCTGGCCTGGCTGCTCTGAGTACTGCCCCGAGGGGCAGGGCCGGGGCATTACCATTCCAGGACGGGGGCAGTAAGTACCTGTAGGAGAGGAACAGCGTCCCCCATCTCATCCACTTTATACTGGCATTATTTATATAGCACCTTCACACGCATGGTTGTCTCACAGCTGCTAACAAAGGATCAGCTTAACATACCATGTACAGGGTTACATTTTGTACAATTTCATTGCATATTTAATAAACTGTGAGCCATGAGTATTTGCTGATGCACCAAAAGTGAAATATTGGCATTGTAATGAGTCCTTGAAACGAGTTGCTGTAATGAGCATCTTGCCTGCTGGACAGGGGTGACACTGCCCACTGGTCCCAGTGGAATAGAAACCAGCTGGACAGACAGTGCACTGCGTCTGATTCTGATCGGGTCCCTCTCCTGGGCCACACTGGGGAAAAGCAACATCCAGAATGTTCCATAACCACTGTTCACATTGGTATCACTATTAACTTTCTTAGTCATTCACTTAGTTATTAATACTTCACCAATAAATATTCATAAATGTTATGGCTGCTAAATAATATATTTTTAAATAATTATGAGTAATTGTTTATTGAATTATGGTTTATTGTAGGGGTGGGAATCAGCAGTGACTACCCAAATCGATATCTGCCAATTCAATAAGAATCACAATTTTCACACAGATTTCGCTGATGAGCATTTCAGGTATGCGTTTAATATGAAGACAAAGGCTGTAACAGTACACATTTTCATTATGTGCTGTTCTGGTTACAGCATTTTCAGATTGGAACATAAAATGAAATGAATTAATAAATTTCTTGACATGGGTGAAACCTAAATTCACAAGTAGATGTTCAAAACTTTATGCTCATTGTGGCTTTGACTTGGTTACAGCTAGCGCTAGAGAGCTCAGCGTCCCTCCCACATCTCTTAAATCAGTATTTTGGCAACATTTTGGCTTCCAAATAAATTACGCCAACACCACAGAGAGAAAGCAGTCTGTTGGCTCTGTTACACCGAACTCGGATATTTTTCTGGAAACATATCCAACATGCTAACTCATTTTAGACAACATCATCCGAGTGTGTGCTTTTGCCAGGGAATTCAGACCGGGCTAAAAAAACCCAACTAATGTTCACACGAAACGATTTTAGCCTCGATTTTTCTCTTATGCAAAGTTTTTGGCAATCACCAACAAAAGCCCCACATCAGAGGCAAATCTGTATTCAATCTGCCCTGGCAAATTGGCACTCAATCGCTATTAATTCGAAGATGTGACCCGAGAAATTCACCAATGTGTCATACATGCCCGCCAGATATCTTGCAGGCTCAATATCTGGATCTGTCAGTGATTCCAGATCCTATTGGGTTAAGAGTGTTACAACTGGCAAAGAGTGCAGCAATAAGCTACAGCCAATGAGTGCCACTGTCAAAGAGTGTGGCAATGAGCTGCAGCCAATGCGAGCGACTGACAAAGAGTGCAACAACGAGCTACAGCCAATGGGAGAGCAAGACACAGGTTTAGTGAAAACTCGAGGGAGGAGTTGAAAACAAAAAAGGTATAAATAGTTAAATTTGTTTAGAAACCGCTTGTTTAAGGAAGAGGCATATAAATATTAAATGACAGTTTGCATTTCACATACTTGCTGGGCCTGTTGCATGAAGAAGGACTTCTTGCTTAGCTGGATAACTTGATGGATTTAAGGTAGTCTGGGCTAAATGTACATGAACAAAGTCCATCCATCTCAGACTAAATCCGAAAAGTTATCCAGCTTAGCAAGAAATACTGCGTCATGGAACACCCCCACAGTTTACTGTGGTGCAAGAAAAGTCTCTGTACACGCTTGCTCATTTATGACAGCACCGTGTCAAACTCACTCATGTCATTGCCTTAAGAAAATCAGGCAGTGTGGTAAATATATTAACCGTACCAAATGTGAACGTTATGATAATTTCAGTAACACATGTTTGAATTCTTAACTCTCACTGCGATATTAAAAGCGACACCTTAAAAAATTGCAGTTTGTAACAGAATCAACCCCCCCCTCCACCCATAGTGTACTGTATAGTTTGGTGAGTCCAACTGACTAGCAGATACAAACATACCATCCTCTGCTGTCCACCCACACAAACAAAGCCAGGAGGGCAGGGTAAGCAGTGGGTGTGGCCTTCGGGGGAGTGTTGCCCAGGGAGACATGGTGTCACTGCGCCTGTGAGCCAATCACAGGAAACCCCAGTTGGGCAGGGCCTGCAGCCCGCCCTATCATCTGTGCTGATGGATCCAGGGGGGCAGGGCTACGGAACCAGGCCAAAAACATGTGACAACGTAAGTGACATGCAAGTTCTGTGTTCTCTCCGACAAGGTTGATAAGTACAAAAAACAGTGTGAAGTATATGAGACTGAAATTTTAATGTGCTGTTGTCTCCCTGTCAAAACAGGGTCAGGTGCAGGTTGCTGCAGGTCAGGTGATTGGGTGACGGTGTACCTGGCAGTCCGCGGTGTCACCACGCCTCGTGTAGACGTTGTAGGTGCCAGCATCGCATTTCCTCGGGGCCGAAGAGTTCCCCAGACATCTGGAGATAAACACAAAGAACTCAGGGTGGGTCCCCTGGATCTCCCATCCCCTCCTGAGCTCCAGAGCGGCCTGGCTTACACGTGTCCCACGGGGCACTCAACGCAGACGCCGGCCACGAAGTAGGAGCCTGGTGGACAGGCCGACGGGCTGCTCCAATTGCAGCACCGCGCGCACTCGGGGCTCACCGTCTGCTGCCCTGAGTGGGAGGGTTAGACGGACATGGGGATGAGACCAGCAGAGCACCGTAGTGTGTAGCTATAAAGGGGACCTTGGGCTATGATATATACTATATAGTGTTTTTATAGTACTGTACATGCATAGAGAATCCCAGGCTGTAGTATATAGCTATAAAGGGAACCCCAACTGTTTCACAGAGAGCCAAACTTATCAGCACCACAAAGTTACCGTCCATTGCTTCCATAAAAAAAGCAGACGAGAGGTTCCCCTGACAAAAAAATTCGCCGACCAGGGGGGTCCCCAACAATAAAAGACATGGTGCCATTATAGAGAAGGCCAGGCTATAGCAGACTGCAGCTTAGCGGTTCCCTTGCTGCAGGGTAGAGTCGCTCTAGTGTATGGTGGAGCGGGCGAAGCACACTGACCTGCGGTGAGGACGGGCCGTCTCCACACGAGGTTGATCCAAGGGCCGCTCAGGCAGGACAGCAGGACGGCCAGGCAGGTGTGCATCGTCGGTCTCGCACTCCCGAGGACACCGGCTCTGGGCCACGGCGCCGCTGCTCTCTCCGTCGACGTGCGCCGCTCTGGGTCAGCCGAGGGAAGCTAAGAGCGCTCGGGCGAAAGTGACACGCGAGACCCGTAAGGCGATCCGCTGTGGGGGCGGAGCTAGGCCGGCAGGTCACACTCTCCTGTTGCCCCCAGGACGCCACCTCCATGACAGAGGCCTCTCCTATGACAGCCGTGGTGATTAGATTGTAACAGATAGGAGGCCTGCCGCTTTACACCCCTTTCACTGCTGCCTCTAATGAGGTTTACTGAGAGGGTACGATGTACATGTGAAGATCAACATCATCCCAGATCAGCACCAGGACAGTGATTATTCCAAACTACTGCGAGATGGGCTTCATTTTCCAAGTTTACGCTTTTTTAAATTATCCTGCAATATGAAGGCAAAACACCGGAACTGCGCAGGTGTGCAGCAGGTGGGTGAATGAAAGTGTTTCCTTCAAAACCGAGCATAGCTGAACTAAGATACTTTGTAACGAGCTAAAACAAGAGACATGATTTCAGTCATTACTCAATTTCGATAAAGTTTTTTTTACGATGTTTTCCCTTGGCAGTATTGTCACCCAAAAGGGGGGCAGGGGAATATTTAACTTGGTTTCATTCATCTCCCCCAAAAAACAGACCTTTATATTTAAATAATTAAGCTGTGCCGCCCCCAGTACCGACCCCCCCCTACATCCTTGGTACAGCAATCTCAGGGCATACCAGCAGAGAGTAACATAAGGCCTAGCGTTCTCCGTCAGGTGCTGCAGTGCACTGTCTCTCCCCATGCGCCTGTGACGTTTCGAGGCCCCCGCACTGCGCCCCCAGCCTTCTCAGGTGCTTCCTGTCTCACTTCTCTTTCATTGACCCCCAGTCATTGGCACATCTACTTGCCTGCTCCCCTTCCTCTCCATGGGCACGTGCCACGTGCTGACACCCGTCTGCCACACAGCAGTACCCCTCCCCCACCCCCCCGGCACGTTCGCACATCCTGCCAGAGAAACCAGAGAGATTCAAGAACTCCTTCATTCCTTTATCTATCAGCTTGTGGAACAATAATCTATTTTTATTTATTTATATTACTATTTTTTATTTATTCAATCATTCCTCCATCCATCATGTTTGCTTGTTTATTTATTTATTTGCTTACTTACCTCCTTATTTATTTATTTTTCTTTTGTCTTATTTCATATGAGGGAGAGCTGTGTTTACTTGTGTTCTGGTGGGTCCAGCTTTGTAGAGTCCAAGTCGAATTTCCCTACGGAGACAATGAAGTATCTATCTATCTATCTATCTATCTATCTATCTATCTATCTATCTATCTATCTATCTATCTATTCCTGTGTGAGCAGGGTGATGGGGGCTGCTTATCATCACCATCTGATTAATCCCCAACACACAGGTCTGAATATCTGAACAGGGCTCATGAAAAATGTAAGAATCATTTAATTACCCGAATGGAACATTTGCCGCATGATTAATTATTTAGCGCCAGTATAGGATATTAGAAATGTACGTGCAAAGTGTGCGTCATTGTACAGCTCTTGTTTTTGTAATGATCAACATAGTGATATTTGTTTGTTTGTTTTCACATGTTTACACAACAGCATATATGCACTGTAATACACAGCAAAAATACAAAATAGTAGCGACAGTAATCAAATATTTACTGAAATGGAACCATGAAAAACAAACATTACTATTACAATCATTACAGTACCAAAACCTGTCAGAACAATACAAATCAAATATCACCTCAAATGCCACCCCCCCCCCGCCGAACCCAGCAGACCACCTTCCCCAAGCATCTTGGCCAATCACACAAAATCCCTCACTGACACAATAATCTCCTTTGCTCTGCCCTACCCCCATATGGTCGGAACTTGCCCTGCCTACGATATGTTTCCACTGAACAGAGAGACGTCCTTTTAACAATGTTTTGCAAATTTCAGGTGGAAAATGAGTCCGCAATGGACCCCGAAGCTTAAAAAACGACTCATTTCATGTGGAGAGACCCTGAAAATCCTTATATACCACAAGGTTATTTTAAGCAGGGTGTCCATTATCCCATTCACCAAAACACACTTCCGCATGAAAAGTTACATTTTATCAAGTAGCTTAAACTCCACAGAGGGAAGGAACACGTCCTTAGATGTGAGTCCAAGCAAAACGAGCCCCAGGTCCTTCTTAATCTAGCCCTAAGGATGCTGCTAACCTCCACAGTAATACAGATCCAGAAATGAGAGATATATCTGCGTTCTCAAAACAAATGGAAATAACTTCCTTGTTCTTCCTTGCATTTAAGACAGAGGTGAAAGTGTTTCTCAAACCAGTCTTTGGGGACCCCCAGACAGTGCATGTTTTTGCTCCCTGGGAGGAAGCAAAAAAGTGGCAGGGAGCTGGGAGGGAGCAAAAATGTGTAAAAGTGGTCTAAGGGTCCCCAAGAAGCGGGCTGAGAAACACTGCTCTAAGGAGAAGCATGGTCCCTGTTCAAGCAGGGGTGGAGAAGCCTGTCGTTGTATTTTTTTATACCTTTGCCTGACCACATCCTGTGCCACCTGCCTGTTCCTGTATCACTTTTCTCGCTTTGTGCACCTTGCGTTTAAGCGGCAGATGCTGCGGTGTGAAGGTGAGCGCCTACGAGAGCCGAGCAGTGCGTCGCCATGACCCGAACGGCGCTTCTCCTCCAGTCCCTCATTGGTCTGAATCTGCTCGGAATCAGAGGTGAGACCTTAATGATTAATCAGTCCATCCACCTGTGTATCTGGTACAGGGTTACGGGGAGGGAGCAAAAGGCAGGGACAACTGGGCACTCCCGGCAATTTAGAGACACCCATTCACCTAACTAACCTTGCTGGACTGCAACCAGGGGAGAACAGGCAAACTCCACAGACACAGAGCCAGGGCTCGTATTCGAACCTCTAACCGCAGACGGTTTGAAGGTACTCTTCTGCCTAAATAATAACTGTGAATTATAATGTACTATAGGCATGTTGTTGCATCATGATGGCAGGGAAGTTTTTTATGCTCTAAGATGTTTTGCTCCTCAGGCAGTGCAGCGACTGACAGTCAAACAGCCGTGCCCCAAGAAATCATCTACGCTACACTGGGGCTGCCACTCGACCTCACCTGCACCTATAACTGCTCCTCGGGGTGGGTGAGGGGCAACTGGTGTCTCTGGAAAGTGGGGCAGCCCGACTGCCAGCCTGTACAGTCAAAGGTCAGCCTCTCAGAGCAGAGGGGTGTCTGTGGCGTATCCCTGTCCCTGCGCCTGGCCTCGACTTACCCCGCCGCACGCAACTACTCCTGCTTCTCCCTGGACACCAACAGTCCGGAGCTGTCTGGCCGGGCAGAGCGGCACGTGATGGTGCAAGTCCAAGGTAGGGTTAGGGTCAAAGGAACCTCACAAACAGCCATGCGCCGCAACCGCGTCAGAAATCAGTTTGGAAAACTTTGTAACAGGCTTTTTGACCAAGTAACACATGTGGAGTCAGTAGGAGGCCAGATTTGAAAGTTTTTCTTTCAAATGCCTTTTTTGTATTCCATCATCTAGCCTGTGACCTTCTCAAAAGGTCTAATGGCCCAAAATATCAACTGAATTCTGTAAAAATAGGTTAAAGATTTAAGATGTTTTACGGGATATGATCAACAAATGCCTTGAGATGCTTCCTCGCTCAGCCACAAGGAGGACCTGCATACAATGAATACAGACGCTCCTCTACTTACGAAAGAGATACCTTCCAAATGGCCGTTCGCAGCTTGAAATGTTTGTAAGTCTTTATTTAACATTATTTTAAGGGTATACGCAAGTACTAAGAACTAGGATCCTGGGAGTCCGCACGCTACGCTGCTACGCGGCGGGAGTAGCGGGCAGAAGTCGTACTAGGCGGAACTGGCGCACAGAAAAAAAATGATGTTGCGGACAGGAAACGGGAGCCCAAGGAACACAATTTGGACTTACAGTCCTCTTCGATAATATGTCTGAAAGTTCATAAGTTGAAAGTTCGTAAGTAGAGGAGCGTCTGTAATGAATAAATAGAGGATAGATGATTAGACAGCACAGTGAAGACAAGTAACACTAGGGTGCATTACAGTTCACATAAGTTGCAGAGTGCAGTAGCCCAGCTCAGCTATTCTTGATGTGTGAAGAGCATATGAACAGGTTACACACTGCCTGCTTTGAAGCAGAATCAATATTGAAGCAATAAAATCAGCCTAACACAGTCATATGACATGTCATATGTCATAGGGCATATCAGGGCAGGTGATCTTGTTGTGACAGTCACAGAGTATTAGCGAGGCGGTGGGCTTGATGTCCCTCCAAGGCACTAAGCCCTGGGTGGGGCAGGGCAGCGATTCCAGCCTTAATTGATAAGCTGAAGGGCCTCTAGCTGTTTGCTAGCAGGCCTGGGGGGTGGGGAGTGAGTGTTTTGTGTGCGGTACAGCTGGCAGCTTGAGATCTGGGATTTTCTTTTCACAGCCTCACCCAGTTCTCCAGTGCTGACAGTATCAAGGGAGGAATCTGGATCCTCAAAAGTAACCTGTACTTCTGGGGGCTTCTACCCCAGGACGGTGACAGTCACATGGTCCCATAATGGCTCCCCATTGGATGGGGCTAAAGACAACATTGTGAGGTCTGAGCCGAATGGAACATTCTCTGTCTGCAGCACCATCACTGTCGGCTCCCTAACCCCCCATCGCAGGGGCACCCTGAGCTGTGAAATCCATCATGTGGCCCTTAGCCAACCCCTGAGGTGTGATAGCAGCCTGGGGGAGGAGCGTGAGTATCCGAGGCCCTGTCACCACACTCAGCCGCATCACCAGCACTTTCCTGCTCAGTACTAGATAAGTCAAGTCAAGTAGAGCTTTATCGTTACACCGTTCATATTCATTACATGCATATTTCATTTTAATCCCATATGTGAAGCACTTTGAGCTGCATTTCATGTATTAAAAGTATTATTATTATTATTATTATTATTATTATTACATTGCATACAGTAACATGAAATAACATTCCCCACGACTGCAGTGCTACATTCAGACACACGCTACAAATTCTGGGCCTCCAGACTAAATGTTTCCTTCAGCCCCCAACATTGATGTTGCCAAGTCTGAGGGGGGGGTTCTATAGAATTAGACGTATGGGCAACCAATAATGTAGGCTAAATAAATAAACCTTTCACTGAGGAAAAACTGAGCAGGTGTCGGCCTCTCTTTTCTCTTTCAACTTTTTGTGGCCTTAATTTTCTTTTCTGACAGCCGGATTTTAACGGCGGAATTCGAGGCACACGCTGGGATTCACACTAACTTCTTGGCACGTAGGCTAGCTGATATTGGCTAACCAGTGTGCCGTGAGGGGGAAGGCGGGACTGAATCATTCCAGTGAAAACAGAGGGGGAGGACTGAGGATATTTATTTTTATTTGTAAACAGTAAATAATTTTCTGCAAATTGTAATTTCAGTGACTGTGCAATTAAAGATTATAAAATTATTTTCTAATTTTTTAGGGCCCCTGTGATTTCCCCCTTTACAGCCCCCTGGGTACATATTTAGTGCAAAAAAGACAAGGAATGACAAAAAACTCCCAGCCCCTTGACTGTTGTTCTGCTGCTGTTGTTCCAGATCCTTCTCTGCAGGTGTATTACAGCAGAGAGGCTGAGAGCTCAGACAAGGCTGTGCCTGTCTCTGACACCATCAGAACAAGTGTGGGCGGGTTCCTCAGGCTCTACTGCCACGTTGACGGCCATTCCTCCTCCACTGTGCGCTGGTTCAGGAGAAACAGCACCTCCCAGTGGCTAAGTGTGGGTACTGACACAACACTTACAATGCCTGAGGTGAAGCAGGAGGACAAAGGAAGTTACATGTGCCAGACGGGTGTGTTCAACAGCTCTGTGATGGTGGAGATAGACACAGCTGGTGAGGGTTTCCCCCAACCACAGCACATATCTACAGTAGATTTCTTCAGATGGATGTCTCACTATTCAGTTAATGTGAGCATAAGTGTGCTAACTCACCATTTTTACACTCTGACTGAACCACAGGCTCGATCCTATGGCTTAAGACCCTTGCTGTGACCATGCTCTTTGTTGCCATGGTGCTCGCAGCTGCTGCCGCATTCTTCTGCATTACCCACAAGGCCAAGCACCGAGGTGAGACTCAGAATCCCCTAACTTCAGGAGACTCCACTTGTACAGGGCAGCTAGATGACCAGTATTGCATTGCATTCCTGTACCAGTATAATATGACTGCAGTTAGATATAGAAAGTTGTATTTTATATTTCTATCCACCATGATCAGGATTGTGGGTGAGCCTGGAGTCTATCCCAGGCAGCAGCCACCATAAGGTGGGGTACTTCTTGGACAGGATGACATCATGTTTATGTTATATTAATCAATCATTCTTTTGACTTCAAAACAACTGGTGCCATTCTTGTAGTACATTTTATTATGGTTTTATTATGGTTTTTATTAATTCATTCTGTTTTTGTTACAGGTGATTCTGTTAGCAGAAGTAAAAGGTTAAGTACAAACTTATCGTCTTTGTCATTATTTAGTTATAATAAAAAAAAACATCTTAATGTTTTTTCTAGGTAATGACTGAAACTTAGTCTGACCATAAAAAATTTACAGAAATAAGATTATATATATGAAATATATTGGGCTCCCCACAAAGATCTGTGACTGCAATCAAAAAACTAAAAATGCCAAAAGTCTTTTTATTTGGTTACTTATGGTTAAGGTTAGGGCAGAGTAGGGGTTAAGGTCACCATGTTGGGATTAGAGATTTCCCCATAAAAATGCATGGAGATATAATTAGAAACCTGTGTTTGTGTGTGTGTGTGTGTGTGTGTGTGTGTGTTTGTGTGTGTATTTCTGTTCACAGTGAACCAACAATAAATGAAGGGAGAGGAGCAGTGGCCACACAAGCAGGTGAGGGACATTTTATTCTGTTAGGTGAATCTGGAGGCCAGCAGATGTTCTAACTGAGCGACATTTTAGGCGAATGCATGAGGAAATGGGAGAATGTGGCTGTCAGGGTAACAGAAGCAGGTAAGAAGCAGTCAGAGACCCTCCCCTGTGTATGAAGTGTTTATCTCAGTTCTCTGAACAGCCCATGTTACTCAACACTCCCTAATCCTCCCCTCGGCATCCTAAGGCTGCCAGAGTGAACAGGAGGTACCATACGCTGACATCATCATTTCTGTGCGAGGATCCAGCTCACCAGAGCTCTCAAATGCGCCTGACTCAGCACCAGGGGATTATGGGAAGGTATTGTTAAAAAAAACTGTACACTTCATACCACAACATATCCTACTGCTTCATGCACAGCTAGTACTTGAATTGATGGAGGGAATTTTGTTAAATCCCCTGACTTTTATTTATGGTTTAGTTACATTGAGGACTTTGCTGCTCCTCTCATGAAAAGCTAATACTGATTCAAAGAACCAGTGTACATCCTACTGCCTCACCTCACACATTTCTGAGGCTGCTTGCTAAACCCAACATCCCCTACCCCCCTACCCCCTCAGCGATGGCAGGGGGAGGCCTCGCAAAGGGCCCTACTTCAGACGTCCCGCTCAGCCGACCGGCTCCATGTACACCAGAGGGAGGTGGCCAGGAAGATGAGCACTGGCTCTGAATATGCTGTCATCACCTACTATCCTTTGCCAATGAGCTAAGGGCCGTGGACTCAGAGCTGCCCCCTGCTGTGTGTTTGTTAGCATGGCACATTGTTCATGTGCTTTTTAGACATTGCTTAGTAACCCGCTTACTGGTCTCATAGACAGTTGTGTTGAACATACCTGATAATGCAGTGATGTCATACTTGAAAGCCAAACTATGCCAAGTTGACTGCAAGTATTTTTATCCTAATAAATATTTTAAGATTTTCATGTCATGGTTGGCTGAGTTTATGCGTTTGTGTGTGGGTTTGTATGTTTGTCTGTGTCAAGCTTGAGATTCTTGTAAGAAACATATTTTCAGACAACTAGCATAGAAAAAAACCGAGAAAGCAAGGGGGCGTGGTTAAATTTAATATCTAAATTTGATACCTATAAAAATGTTACATTTTTATTCGAATCGACTTTTAAACCAGGCTTGTTTAACCCATTCGGGTTTCCGTAGTAAACACTTGCGCGTGGTCTGTTGCCTGGTAACAGCTGACAACGTCTCGTTTCTCAACTTTTGTTCTGGACGAAATAAACGGTAAGTCACACTTTCTAACTTTCCAAGTTACACTGTTTTGTAATAGTATTTTTTTCTCTCGTTAAGATATCGTCCTAACAATGGATTAACTTTTGGGAGGCCAATCGATTTAATCATTTTATCTGGCAGCTCTGCGGTTAGCTAAATAGTTAATACTAATACTAGTAATGATGACGGCAATTAATCAATCTACACTACGTATAATGATGTGTAAATTGATAAAACCCTGCAAATGCAAAATTGTTCCGGCTGGTTACCAAGCAAGGTTTATTAGTTTTAATTTATTTGTGTAGCTATACGTTCCGAAAAACTATAAAGACAGTAAACTACCACTATAGCCACATGCAGCGTGGGAAGGTGGCTATTCAGATTTTTAAATATAAAACTGGGACGTTGCTGCAGAAAAAGTTTAGAAAGTAAACGTTTTAACGCAGCCTCGCGACGTGTCTCCGCTCTGACCCCAGGAATCAGGGGATGTCCGTGCCTTTTTCCAACACCCACCTCCGCGTCCCCCGAGGCTTCGGAAACCTCCTGGTGGGACTGGCCAGAGAGATCCTGAGAGACCAGCCCGAAGACATACCCACCTTCGCTGCCCTCTATTTCAATGACCTCCTGAAAAAAAGAGCCGGTACAGATCTGCTTGTTATGAGCCCCAAACAGCCATATGGTTCCACTTCGAATATCTCGGATATAGGAGATGCTGTGTGTTTAATTGTATTTGTAGCTTAGTAGTAACACTTACATTGTTGTTATGGGTATGTATTGCGTTATAAAATTCAGCAACTGTGCTTCGTACAGTGGACAGTGTATCAGGATTTGTGCTGATGTAGTAAATGCACGGTGTGTAACAGACAGTGGGATGGATCCTGCTGAGTGGGCTGCCAGGCTTGAAGACAGATTCTACAACAATCACTCATTTAAGGTAAATATCACCCGGGGCGCCTTGTCAAACTTCGGGGGTAACAAACCCCAAAAGTGGCAGCAGCCTGCTCTTGTAAAACGGCGCCTTCACTTGCGTCCCATTCTTCCAAACAGACGGAGCGGAGACCGGGTGGTGTCAGCGAAGAGCATGGGACCGTGACAGCTGGCGCTGAGTGAGTCCGCCTGGTCTACGTAAGAGTTGGGCGGGATCAGTTTTCGGTGAGGGCAGCACTATCCGAAAGAATGGAGGGGGAGAGAGAGAGACACTTAATAGTGTTTTTATTCCGCATATATATTATTAGAAACTCCACAGTGTCGGACAACTTGGTGTCCGGTATTTATTTAACGTCGTTTCTGTGTAATATAGTTTCCATAACGCTAGAGGGTGCTAGTTCCACATTTTATATATTTACGATGTAATAGTGTGGAAATTTCTTCTCATTGTTTGTGCAAGACTTGGCAAGCAGGACTGTCAGGACTCATTCCTGCAACATAAACGTCTTCTTACATATATTACTGATGTCATCTTCAGCCCATAACATATCATTGTTTAAGTGAGCTACATTATTCAGAGCCACTTTCCCAAAACTAGGTGGGTCTCATTGTGGCAGATACAGAAGATGGCAGCTTGAGTCATTACTGCATGTGGCCAGATGGGGGCATCCCCAATACACGGGACGCGGTGGATGTGGCATTGAGCCTTGTCCTTCTCTGCCCCTTTAATAAGGATGCGGGCAGCATATGTGGCAACAGTGTGAGGGCATCGCTATGAAAAGAGGGCCTCCAAGTGAGGTGTGGAGCACGGGGATCTTGATATAGTAAATCTGTTTGACAGGCTTTCCACTGCTCTCTGTGGTATATAATGAGCCTGCAGGCTGGCATTCTCAAAGGAGGCTCTGCTTTCTGAAGATTCTAACCAAGAAGCGGTGGTCGTAATAACAGGCTGCTCACCCCATTTAACACGCATGTGTGCATGCATTCAAACCCTTTTAGGCTATTGCTAATCGCCGGCGTAGGCTGCAGGGGTGCAGCTGCATAGGTGCTGAACATAAGTAGAAGGGTCTGTAGCGTGCAGGCCAAGAGTGAAGCTTATATGCATGGCAGTGGTGTGGTTAGATGCCAGTGCCCCAGATTAAATACGGGCTCACGAGAAACGTGCAAGCAGCATGCCGTGATGCTCAATATGCCAGAGATGGATCTGTATTAATAGCGAGCATAAGCCGTGGATGGAGGGCCAGGCTCAGGCAGTGGGTTTGGGAGGAATATGCAGAGCAGCAATGCGAGCAGACGTGTAGGCCGGGCCGTTTTTAATTACACCGCGTGTATGTGGGAGCCCGGAGCTGGCAGCCGTCACTGGCAGCACGGCGCGCTAACAGACCTCTTGTTAAGATGAGTTTGCCAGAGTGGTTGCTCAGACTCCGCCGAGGACTTCATGCCGAGGACGTGAATCCCGGTACGTGTTAAATATGTGAAAAATATACCGTGCGTTTGTGAGAAAGGGGACCATGGAGATACGGACGCCAAACTTAATGTGCAGATGTAGGTGTTGTAGCACTGTCCACTTAGAGGACAGATGCAGTGTGTACCATGGTATTTTTATGTGCTATTTTTATGAGACGTTAACTCACGAAGTTTACCCTAGCTTTTCCTCCTGATTTTCTACAGAATTGACGAGGTTGGATCGCTCAGAAACAGAAGAGCGGAACCTGTCGTGCCCATCAAGACGTCAGTGGTGTCAAGTGCCACCTTCGACGTAATCAAGGGGGTGTCAGGTGCTGAAAATGGGGCTGGCGAGAGGGCCCTTGGTGACGCAGGTGCAGCAGTGAGCAGGGTCGAACTGGAGGATGAGCCCTCCCGCGAGGCCTCTTATGGCGGTGTGGCCAATGTGGACATATGTGCTCAAGAGCTGAGAGACCCGGAGGGGGTCAGGTCACTGGCTCTGGATAGAGGCACCATAGGAAGTGATGTCTTGGATGTTATGGTTGCTGTGCCCCTGCTGACTGAGAGAGAGAAGTCTGAGGCTCAGGATGAGGATGTGGAAGCTGTAGGAGGATATGAGCATCTTCTCCAGGAATGGCGGGCTGATGTTGACGATGTTCTGCCAGAAAAGGAAGCCAAGGGAGGCCTCAGTTCTGGTTCCTGCTATGAAATACCTAATTTAAAAGACCATGCTGAGGAGGCTCTGGATTTCTCTCAAAAGGGAGAAGACCTAGCTGGAGAAGAGGACAGGATAAAGTACATAGACCTGAGTGAGACAGGAGATATCATGGATACACTGTTAGAGAAAAAGAAGGCAGAGGAAGGAGACACAGTGGAGGGCGTTTTAGAAAGCTACACCCCCGCAGAAGGAGAGAGTGTCCTGGATATACAGGCAGGGAGTCAAATGAAAGAAGAGCGTCTGCAAAGTGCTTCAGTGTCCTCTAACATTGGAGAAGATGAAGAGAGAGTCAAACAACAGTCTTTCACAATTAACACCACAGAATTGATATATGGTAATGAGCCTGTAGCCATTGATGAAGGGCCTTACCAGTTAAGTGTCCATCCTGGGGTGGGGGGAGATGATAGACTTGAAGCGGACAGCCCTGACATTGAGAGAAAGTATGGGAATGGATGGACTGAAAGTTACAGAGCTGAGATAAACAAGTATGTTTTTGTTGAAGGTTCTGAATGTGAAGATGGGAGGGAGTGCAGCCCGGTGGGAGATCTCCAAGTACAAGATAAGGAGGAGAATGAGGGCATAGCTGAGGAGCCACAAGGAGATACATCTGAGCAGAGGGTGGGGCCACAGCCAAAGTCTGACACAGAGGAACACCTGCTTACGGTGGACCAACCAATCACAGAAGAATACCTTATCTCAGATGAACACACACTTACCAGAGAGCACTCAGTTACTCAGGACCAACCAATCTCAGACAAATACCTGACTGAGGATGAACACCTGCTCACAGAGGAGCACTCGATTGCAGAGGAACAACCAATCACAGACAAATACCTGACCAAGGATGAGCATCTGCTCACAGAAGAGCACTCAATTACAGAGGAACAACCAATCGCAGACAGATACCTGATCGAGGATGAACACCTGCTCACAGAGGAGCACTTGATTACAGAGGAACAACCAATCGCAGACAGATACCTAACCAAGGACAAACACCTGCTCACAGAGCAGCACTCGATTACAGAGGAACAACCAATCACAGACAAATACCTGACTGAGGATGAACACCTATTTACTGAGGAGCACTCGATTACAGAGGACCAACCAATTGCAGACAAATATCTGACCAAGGACAAACACCTGCTCACAGAGCAGCACTCGATTACAGAGGAACAACCAATCACAGACAAATACTTGACTGAGGATGAACACCTACTCACAGAGGAGCACTCGATCACAGAGGACCAACCAATTGCAGACAAATATCTGACCGAGGATGAGCTTCTGCTCACAGATGAGCACTCAATTACAGAGGAACAACCAATCACAGACAAATACTTGACTGAGGATGAACACCTACTCACAGAGGAGCACTCGATCACAGAGGATGAACCAATCACAGACAAATACCTGACCAAGGGTGAACACCTGCTCACTGAGGGACATTCGATCACAGATGAATGCACACTCACAGATAAATATCTGTTGACAGAAGAACATCTGATCACACAGGATGATGCTCCCTCAGAGCAAAACCTGGTCCCAGAAGAAACTGGATGCCTGTCTCCTAGGCTCGAAAAGAGTGCCAGTGAAAGCAACCAAGAACAAGCCCCAGAGGAACGAGCAAATGGTCTCCCCAACATCTACAGTGCAAAGGACCACAAGGTAAAGCATTAATGTGTAGTGAGAGCTCTGCTGCTAAATAGCTGGCCTGCCTCACAGCGAGGTTAAGCCAATTGCAAATCGAAAAATCGGTCATCTTGTCTCTCGAAGGTGGGTTGATATGAGGTGATAGGTCCAGCTGTCTTGTGTCACTCACGAGGACAGACCACAGCGGTGCTGATGAATCTCTCACCAAAACCACATTCAAGAGAAGCACAGTTATGAGTATGCAATTGACCTAAAGGCAACTTCTGCTTTTTTCCTGCGTGATGTGATGTGTCTGTCACTTTCTTAAGCTTGTCTCCAGAGTAGGACTCTGGTTATCCTTCATGTTAGCCAAAAGAATGTGGACCCATGTTTGTAGACTGTCCCAGATTGCTCAGTAAAAATAAAATGCACAGGAGTCCAGCTAATTAGGGGTGTGATTGCAGAAAAACATATATGAATATTCTTCAGAAATAAGTAGGTTTCCAGTTTAGAAATTATTTCCGAAAAATGCAGTTCAATTACATTTAAAACAAGACCATATTAAGAAACTGGCGCAAAAGTTAACAAAAAAAATACATATTGTTTTTGAATCTCTGCTTGACGTCACACATTCTGAAATTGGGTTTTGCTGGAATGTTCTTTATGGATCACAAGTGTACCCGCTCCGACGAAAATTAGGTTGGTGGTGGAAGGAGGAGGAGGTGCTGACCTTCCCACAGTGCACTGGGATGCAGGAGTGTATGTCTCCTGTCAGATATGTGCTTATTTTTGGAATGATAAACCAGTAATACCAGAGCTGTAGCAAATAGAAATGACCTTTGCTACATCTGTGTCCACCTGAGACAGTCGTCGTCTTCCATTTGTGTGGTAGCAGATGGACCCCTTTCTAATGTATCCACGATTACTGACAGCTTTTTTTTCTGCAGAGGACTGGCAGAGGCCATGTTTTTGCAGTTTTTCCAATACGGGAACCAAAGTAGATGCATTTTGTGGTAATGTGGCGATTGCAGACTCTTGCATGCAGTGTGGTAACGTGGACGCCTCCTCCCAGGCACCAAGGTCTCCTGAGGGAAATACACTGGAGCTCCATGCTGCTCCTGGTGGCCTGGAGCATGGCCGTTCCCAGTGTCCCCGCTTGTACCTTCCAGAGCTGAGAAAAGCATTTTCGAGAGCATTGCCATGGAAACCTGCTCACCACCCCACTCCCACCTGCCCCTTTTGATTTTTGGTTAAGGATTTGGTACAGAGGTTCCAGCGTGGGGATTAAGGTAGATGGAATTGGCGCCATTCTCAAACATTCCTCTTTTTGAGCTGAGGGAATTTAGCTATGAACAGGTATAGCATTGCAGTTTATGCACGTAACGTTTCGATCACTTCTTCACCCTATTTAAAATATCAAGCTGCCCATTGTCTCTTTATGAAAATAGTGGATACTGATATGCTTGGTTTATTAAGAAGGAAGTAGTTAATTATTACATTAAATTTGCATTCTTATCTCTGAGGCGACCTACAGCACCTATGGTTCCTGCATTTAATATATTTATACATCATACTGATACTTCATGTCCACCATTTTAGTGACTACGCCCCCTGCTGGACCCATCATCAGCATAGTAATACCAGCCAGAATCTGCACTGCACCTCCTGCTGATCCCCCCCCCCCCCCCCCCCCCCCCCCCCCCCCCCCGCTGCCCCCCCCACTGCAGTGCACCACTTCCTCCAGACCCGTCACTGGAAGCAGGACACTGTGTGACACCACCAGTGCAGGGTACTGGCCTGAATTCGATCCGGACTCAAGAGCAGAGTCTTTGTGGGCACGTCAGCTTTTGACCATGGGGGACAGGGGCACAGGGGGCCGGCCAAAATCATTTTCCGCTGGGGCCACTAAGATGGCCTGCTTCTCTGCTGTCTGGGGAAGGCTATATTTGGACGCGGGGCGCACATTTGGAGCTGAGCTCAGTCAGTTTGAAGCCGTCTGCACAGCAACGAGAAAATAGGATAATGCCACATGTTGCTTTTGTGTCCTCTGTGTGGCAAATGCAGAAAGGTCTCATCTGGACCCCCCCCCCCACTCAGCAAACTAGATTAATTATACAGTATGAATGCAATTAAGTCTGAGCAAAGGCATGTAGACAGACGTTCCCTGGTATGGGGAGATGTCCTGCCATGTGCTGCCCGTGTGCCACTGCAGAGGTGCTTTGCAATGTGGGCCAGCTTCCCCAAGTAGCTTCTGTGCTCCCAGAGAGTTGCTCTCTGCAAGTTCTTGACCAAGGACATCATCCATCAACGGGAAGAGCACCAGCCCACCCTCCACCCCCCCCACTGCCCCATCAGGCAGGATGGAAATGCATGGCCACACCAAAACGGTTTTATACCAGAAACTTTACAATGTTTGAGAGGTTTATAGTTGTCGGAAAAAAATTAACAGTGATGTCATGCCACGTGTGCGGTTTGTCAGTCAAATTAATTCTAATTACTCAACCTTAATTGGCGTTGGCTTAGAAGAGTTACAAGCTTGTGAGTGTGTGCAAATGAGAGACACTCTGCTACTGACAATTGCCTGGTTGGTCTCTGAATTTATACCTTGGGAATATGAGGATTTATTCTGCTATTCGCATGTCCACTTCTTGCCTGGTTTCCTTGATGATCGCCCATCCTTTTGCATAATAGAGAGTAAGGCCTCCTCTCTGACAGGTTCCCTTGCCGTTGAAATGTGTGCTTGGCATGTTACATTTTTCAGGGACCCATCACAGACATCGGAGTCTAATCTGACCGAGATCAGCACTCTATGACGTGCCGCTTATTGGAGAGGGCGGGGATATTAATCAAGCAATCCCAGAATGCTTATAGAAGGCTCTGGAAGATGCTGAGGTGCTGGTGTTAGAACAGGGAGCTGCAGAGAGGCTTGGCATCACGCTGGGTCCTGGTGCTCATTAGGCTCTGTGTAGGTGGACTGGTGGAATGTTGAAGACACCTCAACTAGTCCTGTACAGCCCTTCGCCTCTCTCATCTAGTTGCGGCTTCATCATAGATGGGGCCCCTGACGGCAGTTCTGGTGTTTTCACTAGGTTGTCATCCAGGGTTACCCAAGAATAAAAACGTTACAAAGTTAGGATCAGGAATTTCTTTCCAATACAAACATCTTTTTGACACCTTGCTATTTTTCATTAAATGCCATTAATGATTTAAGATGGAGAGGCTTCTTGTAAAGTGACTGATATGTAAATCAGCTAGGCAGATCAAACGTGTTGCTTGGCAGTGTAATCACAACACTGACAGTCACATGACAGTCCTGTAAGGACTCGAACAGACACGCGGCAGGTTCATTGCGACACAGACAATCACGCGATGGTGACATGATCAGTTATGTGAGTGTCAAAGAACAGATTGTGGGTTTCAGATCTAAACTATCTTTTTTGATTTAAGAATGACTCTGTTACTGAATCTGTAGCTTTAAATATATATATAGGCCTACAGTGTGTGTGTGTGTGTGTGTGTGTGTGTGTGTGTGTGTGTGTGTGAGCATGATCAGACAGCACATCAGATAAATAGCTTTAAACATTTCTTTTTACAGCCTAAGCACAGTGCTGCGTCTATATCCATCCATCCATTTTCTAAAACCACTTGTCCTATCCAGGGTTGTGGGGGGGGTGCAGAGCGGCTGTAGTCTCTGGGATAGGCAAGGCAGGGAACAACCTAGGGTGGGGGGCCAACCCATCACAGGGCACCCACACACCAGTCACCCGCACATGCACACCTACTGGCAATTTGGCAACTCCAGTCAGTCTCAGCATGTTTCTGGAAACCGTAGTACCCAGACGAAACCCCACGACGACATGGGGAGAACATGCAAACTCCACACACATGGAGCCATGGCAGAGACTCGAACCCTGATCCCAGAGGTGTGCCGTAACAGTGGTAACCACTGCATCACCATTTTAACAAATTTGCATTTAAAAATCCAGGTTTAATCATGGTTCTGCTGGCAGAGGGCTACGCTGAGCAGCAGGTTGCTTCCAGGTTCAAAATTTCTAAGACAGCAGTACATAAGAATAAGGTGAAGCAGGAGACACTGGGAATGACCAGAAACCAGCCAGGAAAAGAGCAGAATCGACATTCAAACGTCACTAACTTATCCGACCTTTTTCTCATGAATTGTCGGATGACATCAAGTGACCGTCAGTAGGAATGGGAAACATTAAGTGCAGGTGTGAAGTGCACTGGTAGGACAAATCATATCAGGCTCATAGAAGTAGGACTGAAGTCCCATAAAGCAAGGAAGAATCCCTTCATTAATGAGAAACAGAGAAGAACTAGATTACAGTTTGCAAAAAGTATATATTATTCACAGAAGCACACACATAAATTGAGAAATAAGTGAAACAAAAAATTGTGCTGTGGTCTCTTAAGTTTTTCCACAGCTAT